TAAAGCTTTGCCTTTACTATTAAAATTCCTAAGTTTTTCTTTGCAGGGATGTGGGATGTGGAGATTTCCATCTGTTTGGTGCCACTCTTAGCTAACACAGCATGTGTGTGCTATTCCGGTAATTTAGCTCCTGGTTCTGCCCAAAGCCGTAGAGTGAAAAAATTTTGAATCAGCTGGAACTGGAACAGAAAGTCTGTTTTCCTATTACATAGGAAAAATACTTCCTGTGACAGTAATGATAAAATATTTCAGGAATCAAGAAAATGAGTTCATTAAACCTAATCTTCACTCAAAGCTCTTTGGATATTCTGGAAAAGAACTAATCTGTTGCAAACGTAGATGTTTGCGTGCACCACACAGTTTACATTTTCCTCCTGTCTTTTTCACCCCTCATGCCTGCCCTCCTCTGTTGCTAGGGCAGAACAGCAGGCCTGCTGACCTTTATTGTAATTTTATTTGAGTTAGCAGGCCAACCATGCAGAACAGTAGAGAGGTCAGTTTCCTTTTTCCTGTGGCAAGTATGCTGCTTCATTGTAATAAAGTGAACACCACTGGTGCTGTAGATGTTACAGAGCCAGTCCGGTTTGTTCCGCGATAAAACAGGTAATCCACATTGTTTAGATCTTCTAGGATGGGTGGCTGTAAAGCTTTCCAAAGACTTCTGGTTTTTTGCAATGGAAAACACAAGCAGGCACACTGATCTGAGCTGTGCATTGAGCCCTTACGGCAGAAGCCCTGCAGGAGATAGAGCTGTGGTGCCAGGCTGTGTGATCTTAGTGCTGAGCTCAGTTTGTATTTTTTTCAGTCTGTTCTTTGTGTCTCTTCTATCACTTCAGTGTTGCTTTGTAAGTGTATTGGTTTGACTTTTAAAAGTATGTTACAGCCAAAGAAAAAGCTTCTTTTAATAGGTAAGGCCATCAAAACATGTTTTGTGGGATTTACCCCTCTTCTGCCTTTCTTTTTCTTTCCCTTAGTTCAATTGATACTGATTCTGTTGCCCGGGTTACGAAGGGCTAGCAGCAGCTTTAAGCAGTCACATGCAGCAAGAGAAAATGACATGGGAGCAGGAAGCAGTAAAAAAGGAAGGAGTAATTTCTCAATTCCTCTGTGTCCTTGTTCCAGGACTTGGGGCTGTCTCAGTTATCCTGACCTCTCTGAGCAACCTTCTGTGTAATGTTTAAATGGTAAAAAGAGAAGCACTGAGAATGAATTTAAGTGTTAGGAGAGATTTCTAGCCCATGCCTGAGATTTCAAGGCTTATCATAATTTATATAATAACAGTAACACCACCACCTAGCAATTACAGTTTTTGGTGACTTCATTCTGCAAGTATGTTTTTCTTAAGGCTACCTTTACGAACTGGGAAACTACTTCAATTGATACTAAATCTGATAGACAAGCAGCTGAAGAAGTAGAATTTGGGGTTTGACAGCAATTTCTAGAGAAGGAAGATGCAGAGATGGAAAACACTTGGCACATCTTCTGTCTTTACAGAGCTCCAGAAATTGAATTATAGCCCTTCTTTGGTGACTTCATGCTGTACTAACCCACTTGTTTATCTCTCTTTAGTTTCGAGGCATTAACAGTTGTTCTAGGGAAGTGGATTCTTCTGGAACATGTAGTACTATGCCAGTTCTGCTTAGAAATCTGTAGCAAGGTCTGGTTGTTTGTTCTGTCCATAGTGTGATTTTTGATTATTAGTTATTCAGGTGCCTAAATGCCTATGTAATAGTCACACAAGGTTTAGCTGATTGATGCTGGATCTTTTTTTCCCCAGTAGGATATTCTTTTAATGACTGGCTAATTTGGATGGCCTTTCATTACCTCTCCCTGTGATCCCAGAATACAGTGATCAAATGGTTTAGTATTTAATGTTTTGTAAGTACTGACATATGTACTGACCTTGTGTGTCATATATATTGACCCTGTGTTCTAGTGTTCCACCCTGTACATCCACTTGGGTATACATAAAGCTGAGAGAGCCCAAAATAACACTAGTGGACATGATACTGAATGCAAAATGCAGATAAGTACAGTAAGAGAAGACAGAGCAAAAGTTGAGAACTGTAAAAGAGAGTCATAGTTACTTGGTGTTCACTAAAATGTTTGGATCCTATTTGAGGGTATTACCATTCTCTGAGCTTTTTTCTGCTTTATTTTTCCCAGATAAATTCCGTAGAATTCTTTTCACTGGGGCAACTTGGTTTTGAGACTTACCATGAACTGGGAAAAGTGAATTTGAGACCTATGGAAAATGTCCATGCCTAGACTGTAAAACTCACCTACATTTAGTTTTCCTAACAAGACTGAAATTCAGTGCAGGCTGGGGGAGAAACTGAAAAGATTCGTGAGCTTCCCAGGCAAAGTCTGGACAGGTGGTTTTGCATCAGAAGTGCGCGAATTTTTGGTGAAAGTTGGCAAGTTTAAGCCTAAGTGCTACACACAGTAGTTTTTCACAAGGTGTTTCTTGACATATAGATGGCATTTGTCCACTTATTCTGAGAAAAATACTTTCTAAAGCCAAACTCCAGACACATGCTGAGCTTTTAACTTGCAAGCAGGTACATTTCAGCCCTGCTTTAGACTCTGATAAACCAGATGCATCATGGGGCAAATCTTATCTGAGAACTTGAGTAGAAGAAAGGGAGTTGTATGGAATTTTCTTGCAAGGTCACAGAGGGAAGAAAATGCCACATGTGCCAAACTGGAATGATACACCTCTGACAGCTCTGATAGATTATTCCTAAGCAAAGGGCTTTTGATCTTTATTTGCCTTATGCTGCTTGTTTGATAGGTTTCCTGGTATAATAATCATTCCTACCAGTTATTTTTTAAGAGGTATAACTTCTATCTGTTATTACTAAAGCAAAATTCTAATTTAAGTCAGTTCTGTTAGTTTTCAGTTCTTAAATTTTATCTAAAGGATAACATGCCATATCTCCCAAACAGTTTCCAAGAGATAAATACGTTATTAATGTACAGTGATTGCAATTGCCATTTTGAGTTGACACATCACTGGTAAAGTTTTATGATTTCTTAAATAGAAAGAACCATCTGAAAAATATATTAAAATCAAGATCTCTGTAAGATATAGAAGTCTTTCTAGAGTTATATTAACTATAAATGATTGCTGGATTTATCTTTTGCAACTGAAATGTAAACCATACATTGCAGAGATAAAGGAGTTTTTAATGTGTATGTATAGCTCTAGTTCCTTGTTATTCTGTTCTGCTCTTGCATTCCAATGAGAATGCACTTTTGATTTTTTTACATCTGCAGGATGAAGAAAGTATGTGTAAGTTGAAGTGTGAGAGGACAGAACTAAAACCGGACTTTCTCTGTTGAGAAGCATGATCATAACGAGCAGAGTATTTAGTAGTAATTGAAATGACTTGGCAAAAGAGCAGCAGCTAAATTGTTCATGTAAATGGGTGTCACATACATAAACTAATTTGATTTTGTGTTTTGTTCAAAGCCTTGTGTAGGGCTTTGGTTTTGGTTCTTTTCTTCAGAGTGCATTTGTTGCTTAAGAAAGCAAGGTCAAGTAAAGCTGGTCAGTAGGGTTGCTTGTTAAATTTTCCTGTGCTTTTTAGATTAAATAGGAAAGAGGTTTCCTAGAGGACTGTCAGAGGCACTTCAGATACTTTGGTCTTCTTTCAGTTCTCCTTAATCCATATTGCTGGAGGGAAGGAATGGTCCAGACCTTATAAATTGGCACATTTTCGTATTTACTTTTGCAGCATTTGCCCACAGATGTGAATTTGTGCTCCACATATTAATCTCCTCTAAGCATGTTTGACTTTAATGGACTTGTATTCTGCTTCAATGATTATTCAGTAGATAGATATCTACAAATATGGAGCTTTTTGAACAACAACATGTCAGACTGCTCACACTTATGCATAGCTACGTTTGATCATGAACTCACTTGACACCAATGGTATTCATGGTGTTACTTCTTAACTCTGCTTGCACAGCTAGTTTGTCTCGTCACTCTTTTGATTTAATTGTCTGACCATTTGTATAGATAAAGCAAACACCTCATACTGTCAGAAACTGTTAGGTGGCTGAAACAGATTCAAAGTATTGATTATATTAAGCTTACAAAAAAGATGTCTGTAAATATAAGCTCTCCAGAATTCATGTTTTGTTTGATTTGATTTGATTTTTAAATCCGACAGGTTTAAAGCCAGAATTTATTTGAAAGCGGCAGCAGGGAGAAATCTTGGAGGGTCAGACAACCTTACTAGTTTGGTAATCAAATACTTGATTCTCTGAAAAGGAGGTTTTCACACAAAACTCAGCTCTGCCAGTTTATCTTTGCATATTATGTAATTAACTGAGGGAAGATTCAGTTGTCATTTTAAAAAAATGTATATTTTACTTAGTTTTCATATGGTACAGTCATAGTTGTTACCTGCACTCACCCATCTGGGTAGTTTCATACATATGGCCATTTAATAATGTCTGTAGCTTGAAACTTGGGAGTTCCTGCTTCTTCTGTTGGAATTTATCCTGTTTAATACAACTATAGGTGGTATTACTCAAAACACACTTTTGTGGTTTCTGTTAAGGTAATTGTTCTGACCTGAAGATTCACAGATTAAGTGTGCATAGGAAGAAAATCTCATCTACATGGCTTCCGCTCATCAGAATAGAAATAATTCTACTTTTGTGATTTTTAGGTTTTTATGTACAGCAGATTTCACAAGAGTTCTACAATTTCTGTTATGTAAAGATATTATCTGTATAGTGTATTTACTGGTTTCTCTTTCTACATAGCTTAGGTATACTCGGTGTAACACTTGACAAAGCATATGCTTAGCATGATACTTAATTATATCAAGTATGACAGTATAGAGACTGTAACTGTGTCAGTGTTTATTATTATTAAATTATTTACTATATATATAATGCTAGAGTTAAAAGGGGGGGTTATAAATACAAATGTCTGTTAATATTTCTGCTTTATGTAATTCAATGTCATTCTTCCTCTTTAGGCTGTGCTGAGTCCTCTTATAGCAATCGCACTGAAAATATCTCAGATTCATGAGAGGACAGGGCGAAAGGGACCCACTGTCATCACCTGAAGCCACGGAAGATTGTTAAACCAGGGCCAAAAGAGGAACAGCAAGGAAGAGACAGAACCTTGCTGAAACATGTTAGCCATTTGTGCCTTGTATGATTTTAAAAGTTTTCTTGGGGATAGAGGTAGAGTGGGAAGAAAAATTCAATATAATATTGAGCATATTCATTTGCCTTGATCTCCGAATACAATAGTGTATTGACTTCTTTGTTTTACCTGCAATATCTTAATTTCATATAACAGTATAACCAAAGAAAGAGGCCTTAACCTTCAAATGTTGTCAGCAATGTAACAGAAAAGGAAAACTGCTTGTTTTTGAATGCTGTGATAGAGGTTGGGGAAATTTCAGTTAGGGAGAGAGGGGGGGGAGTTGCAAAGCAAAGACATGCTTGGTGAATATTGTTTGGGATCCTTGTCACCTTCTTGTTGGTTTACGGAGACATACACGGAGCATGTCTGACGTGTAAGGGCTGCGTACTAAGCTTTGCAAAGGGTGTATTTCCTCACCTGACAGCACTCCTCCTCTCCAGACTCTCCTGTTGCTCACAGATCCACGCTGGCAGCAGTGTTGTGTACACACTTGCACATGCTCCCAGAGAAGGGGTTATGCCATATTTTTTTTACCCCTGCTTTTAATGCATATCAATGTGATTTGTGCCTTTAGATTTTCCTGATTTTTTGACTCTTTGTGGTTTTTTCCTCCAAAGGGAGGCATTTGTGCTATATAGAAGCTGATCGTGTCCTTCCAGCAATATGTCGGGTGTGGAATCTGGCTGTCTTTTGCAATATTCCTCATGTCAGCAGATGATATTGGTGCTTACTGTGTTTGAAAGGTAATCACTGCAAGTTCAGCAATTTTTCATGAAGGAGTTATTATGGAAGTTTTTTAAATCTTTGGAATATTCACACTCCACTTCAGCACAAAGTGGTAAGTGAAGTGTGTAGTAAAGAGGAAATGAAAACAAACGCTAGTGAATTAAATTGAAATACTTGTCTGATTCACCAGCTGGATGCAGTTTCTGTTAGATTCTGTGTGACAGTGGATCATGGAATAAAAATTTGGGGAGTGCAAAGGGAGAGGAGACATCCTGGCATAGATCTGAGAAGGATATTGGGGATATGGACATCAGCATTTTTCTGCTTGTGAAATGATACTGCAGTTCTAGCTACAATGCTGTGCTCTGAAGAAGAACACACACACTTTATGCATGTGAGTTGTTTGAAAGCATTGCTTCCTTGGGAACAGCGTGGTCACTTGTATCATGTGTCAAGGTGGCTTTGTGCAACTTGCCTCTTTGCAGTGTGTTTCAATACGTTGTGGTTGTCGATTTTTAGTGCAATTTATATAATATTACAGCAAAGTAAATTGTTTTGATTTCTTTCAACACTTCTGTCAAAAATTGCTATGGCACTTAGTACACAATAAAGAGTAATGCTGTATTTCTGTCTTAATACGTAATTGTTGACAAGACACACTGCACTTTCAAGCATCCTAATAAAACTCCCTTTAATCCAATTACATTATCTACTTAATTGACTCTAAACAAATGAGTTAGTAATGTTCTCAAATAATATTCTACCTTACCATTAAGTGTTCCCATAAACAAAAAGTAAGTTTTAAGGCTTTGGTTCTTTTTATAAAGACTTTTTCTGAGATGACCATGGCATTCTCACACAGTTGGGACATCTACTTTTGAATGTAAGAATATTCATCTTTACAGAAGTGTTAAAGAAAAATTCTACCAGACGTGAGTTACCCTAGGTTTGCTTTATTGCAGCGCTGGATGCACGGGGGAAATAGCTCCACCAAACGTGCATGCCAGGTGATCACCAACATACAGGTTATATAGAATCAAAATATACATATTCATTATTTTTCCAAGAAAAGGCAGTCCTATGATAATCATTTCTTGGAATCCATTTCCATATTCTCCTCCCCATCATGCATGCTCAGTGATTTGAGTTGGTGGTCCTCAGGGGTCTCTGGTGGTCGTCGGTGGTCTCGCACCCGTGTTCGCTGGATGACCCTCTTCTTGCAGGCATGCACAGTATCCTTGCTGTGGATACACTTGTCCCTTACAACTTACTTCATAAGATTAATATTCCCGGGCCTATTGTCCGGTTGGGTAGGGACTGTACAAGGAACGTAGCAGCATTGTACATTGCCATGGTCAGTTAGCTATTACCTCGATTACAAACCCCTTTCCCATGATTATAGGCTTTAAAACAGTTCTAGGCCTTAAGCAGCTTTCTAGTTAATGTAAGTTTTCTTATAGCTAAGCTTCTATATTTTTACAAGATTACCTAGTCTTTCACTTTTCTTACAGATCAAACTCCTCCAGGTGCAGGATAGTAAACTTCTAAAGAGTGGATCACACACGGTCAAGCATAGGCATGCCCTGGCTTATGACATGTAGTTCAAATTACTGGGCTGCATGAGAGAATGATCTGAAAGGCAGTCCAAGAACTTCCAAAATCTCTTACATGTTCTCTGTCAATGAAATAATTTTTGATCACTCAGTGACCTGGCTAGTTATAGTACCAAGTGTCCCATTTGATAAGCTTCTGGGACTGGGACTCGCACTTTGAAAAGGAGGAGGTACTGAAGCCAGGTGTCTTTCAAGATGGGAAGACTCATGAGAAACAAATCAGGACCGTGAAGAAGCATACTTGTGTTTTTATCAGAAAGTCACTAGAGCACTAGCTGCAGTAGATGGCAGTCTGCTTTCATGAAGGCAGTCTTCATGAACAAAGGATATATTTTAAAATCTCAATAATTACTTTGTCCTGGGCTTCAGAAACAAAACTTGTGCCTCTGTACTGAAATGGAGAAAAGGGCTGTTGGTGTGTGGTTTTGAATAGGTGTCCAACAGTAGACTTCCAGAACTAGCCTAAACCCAAATCCACTCACCATCCCTTTTTTATGATGGCTGATGATATTCATAAAATGTAACAACTGGTATTTTCCACCAGTTAATTGCTTTTCGCTTCAAGAATATTAATAAAACTTTGTAAGGCTGAAGTACAATGTATATCTTTATATCATCTGATGTGTTTGGGGAAGGACTGTAGCCATAATCTCATAAAGTGTGCTGCATTTCCTTTTACTTATTAACATGACAGATGAACGCTTGGAAGAGAGCAGCGTACATGAATTCATACAAAGATGCAAGGCTTCTAAAAACAGACCATACATCTAGCAGAGGAAAACCTATTATTAATACGGTTTGTCTTACGACAGTGTCTAGATGCTATGACAGAGACCCAGACCTTTTCGTGGCTATTGTTGGATTAGCAGTTTTACCAAGTTCAGCTGTGATTGCACTAACATTTACTTCAACAGTAATTCTGTTTCCCAAAACCTCAGATTTTTCTATACCCAGCAATACAAAGTTACACTCCCAGCAGAGTGAAGGAAAAAGAGAAAGAGGAATTCAAAGAGACCAGTGAGAGAGAGAACAATTTCAAGGTACATGAGGAGAGGGCTGGCCAAGACAGAGCTTGGGTGGGTCCCAGAAACAGAAAGAGGCAGCAGGTGGCAGAGAGGATTAGGAGAGGACAAATTACTGGATTCAGCTGGAAAGAGAAAGATCTCATAAAAGAATACTAATAGCACAACAATGGAAAGAGAGAAAAAGGAATTAAAGGTGGGAAAGGAGCATAGTCTAAGAATGATTTAATACTGTTCAATATTAAAACTATAATCTCATCTGTTTAATGATTGTATTGTAGTAACTGCTGTCATGATCTAAGGTAAATAATGGTCTACACTAGGAGGAATTAAGGGCAAATTTGGAGCAGTATGAATTGGTGACTCTGACATCACTTACTTTAACAGTTTACAAAAACACAATAGCTGAGACCGAATTACTGAAAATGGTAGAAGAGTAGCGCCAATGTGATGAGAAGTATCAAAACGTTTGGTGTGGTCTCACTGGGGAGTATGGTTGTGACTTTTTACCGCACAGGCTTCGAGCATCTGGTCTTCAGCATCAAGTGGTTTGAGCTAAGTCAAAATACTAGCAAATTCACCTGCCAGCAGAGCTAAATGGTTATTACATTTTCCCTTGGGAGAAGCGCCCTTCTGTAAGAGAGTTAGCGGCAGTATGAGAAGCACATTGTGTTCAGAGACAATTTGGAAGGCAGCAGGACTCATCTGAACCATGGGATCACAGAATCCTTGAGGTTGGAAGGGACCATCTAGTTCATTGGGACTAGAATCACCTAGTCCATCCTCCAGCTCAGAGCAGAGTCAAGTGGAGGAGGTTGGCCAGGACCGTGTCCAGTTGGGTTTTGATTATCTCCAAGCTTGGAGACTCCAAAACCTCTCTGGGCAAACTGTTCGAGTGTTTGACCACCCCAATAGCGAAAAAAACACAACTTTCTTGAATGTGGAATTTCATGTTTCAGTTTGTGTCCATTGCCTCTTGTCCTGTCACTGGGCATCACTGAGAAAAGCCTGGCCCCATCCTCTTTTTTCTCTCTCATCAGGTATTTATTGAAATAAAAAAGGTTCCTCCTGAGCCTTCTCTTCTCCAGGCTAAGCACTCCCAGCTCTCTCAGCCTCTCATCATATGACATATGCTTCAGTCCCTTGATCTTTGTGGCCGTTTGCTGGAGGTACTCTGGTATATCCATGTCTTTTTTGTACTGGAGAGCCCAGACCTGGACCCAGCACTCCAGATGTATCTCAGCAGTGCTGAGCAGAGGGAAGGATCACCTCCCTCCACCTGCTGGTGATGCCTTACCTAACACAGCCCAGGATGCCATTCGCCATCTTTGCTTTGCAGGCAAGTTGCTGGCGAGTGGTCAACTTGTCCAGCATGTGACCTCCAGGTCCTTCTCTGTGGAACTGCTTTCAGCCCACTGGCCGAGTATGTATTGGTGCCTGGGTGTATTCCTCCCCAAGGGCAGGACTTTGCATTTCCCTTTGCTGAACTTTATGAGGTTCCTGTCAGTCCATTTCTCCAGCCCATCCGGGTCCCTCTGAATGGCAGCAAAACCCTCATGTGTGTCTGCTGCTCCTTCCAGTGTTGTATCATCTGCAAAACTGCTGAGGGTGCACTCTGCCCCGTCATCCAGATCATTAAAGAAGATGTTAAATGGTATTGGCTTTGATATTGACCCCTGGGGCATACTGCTGGTGACTGGCCTTCAGCTGGACTTTGTAGCAGTGATCAGAACCCTCTGGGCCTGACTGTTCAGCTACTTTTCAATCCTCCTTATTGTCCACTTACACCA